CCACCTTCTCCCCGGACTGCATGGCCCACGGGCGGGGAGGGGCAGGGCTCCGGGTTTCCCATTAAAGAGACCGTGTTCTGAAGGTGGGCGTGCTTGTGGCTGGGCCAGGGCACCTGCGGGCGTGGGTGCGGGTGGGAGCCCCTCGTCGAGAAGACTCCGCCCCTTGCCGCCAGGGACCGCGGTCCCTCCCCTCGGGAGCCAGGCCACGCAGTGAGGGGACGAGGCCCACCCCAAGGACCAGGCGCGATGAGGAGGCAGCGCCAAGTAAAGTTCATTTCAAACCCGCCGTCCTGGCGTGTGCTGGAGACTGGCGCCTGCCCTGCCCGGGGCCGCGACCGGCCTGGAGTGGGGCCTGGGGCTGCGTCCCGCTGGGAAGAGAGGCTCTAGTTTTCCACCAACACAGAGGGCCAGCCTTACGCGTGTCTCCTGTAGCCTCACCCCTACGGAAACATTGCCTCGGGCTGGGGAGGTAGAGGGGTGAAATGGGGGCCCAGGCGGGTCTGCAGTTGGTACACCTCCCCGAAAGACCCCGTTCCGCCGTTCCATGTATGCTATAGAGGGCAGGGGAGCGCGGCACGGGGGCGCCCACACGCAGCTGCCAGGGGGCACCCAAACGCCACTGCTGCCTGCTGCCGTTGCCCACCTGGGCCGGAAGGCGGGGAAGAAGCAGGCGCGGGTGTGGGTGTGGGTGCGCTGCAGGCTCCCCAGAGACACCCGGGCGTGTGGGGTACGGCAGGCAGAGGGCCCGAGGGCTGCGGGCTGCATGCAGGCTGGTAGACCAGGGGGGAGCAGGTGAGGGGAAGTGGCAGGGGCCCTGAGTGCCTTGGCTCCCCCAGCCGCCCACCCAGGAGCAAGGAGGCTGGGGGAGGGGAGGAGGGACCTTCAGGGGGAGGTTCCGAGCAGAGGTGGAGTGGGGGGGGCGCACTGTGTGATCAGAGGTACAGAGGGCTTTCAGGGAGCAGGAGAGCCTGCTACAGATGTGGACGGGGTGCAGGGATCGGACCCGTCTGCCCCACTGAGCCGGGGGAGGGGAAGGGTTGGGGTCAGGAGCCCCTTGGTCGTTCCTCTGGGTGGGGTTCCAGAGAATTCTGAACTTTTTATTTATTTTTTAGTGTTTATTGATTTATTTTGAGAGAGAGAGAGAGAGAGAATCCCAAGTGGGCTCCATGCTCTCAGCTCAGAGCCAAACGTGGGGCCCAACTCACAAACTGTGAGATCCTGACCTGAGTCAAAATCAGGTCAACACTTAAGCAACTGAGCCACACAGGGACCCCGAGAGTTCTGAACTTCGGGGGCAGCCCTGAGAGGGGAGGCCAAGGCCGATTTGGGACAGACGGCTTTCCGAGGAGAGGCTGGTGGGCTGGCTGGGGGAGATGGGGTTGCCCCTGCTTTGGAGCACATGGCTTGTCCTAAAACCATCCATTTCTGGGGCCAGCGCCCACCAGGAAAGGAAATCCCTTCCCCCCACCCCGGCTCCTGGGCTGTGGCCTTGGGCTGACCCGCAGCTGGGAGCCTAGGCTTCCCTTCTGTGCACTGGTGTGGGAGATGGAGATGGGAGGAGGCAGGTGTAGGGAGCTGGGGACTCGTGTGGGGTGAGGGCATGGTGATGATCACATGTCCACTGTCGCTTAATCTGTGCCCCCAGGGGACAAAGCCGAGGAGGGAATGGGGTGTGGAGGGCTCCAGCCTCTCAGGAAGGCCCAGGTGGTCTGGCTTGCTGGCCGGTTCCTGCATACCCAGGTCCTCTGGGCTCTGGCCTCAGGACCCTTGCTCTCCCCGCCTCCTTGGCCTGAGCTGAGCAGAGATCGGCCACCAGGTCTTTTCTAGCCTCTGTCCCCAGGGCCCTTGCTGTCTGCTCCCCAGGGCCCCAGACAGGAGGGGCCCCCTTCCAGGGCAGCTGCAATGAGGCAGGAACTGGTACGTCGGGGCCGGGAAGGAAGGGCAGAGGCTGGGGTCCTCCAGGCAGACGGGCCTCCCTTGGCCCACTTCCCTGCCACAAGGCCCCGAACAGCTCAGCAGCCTGCCCCCTGCCTGCTTCAGGCGGCCTCAGGCTCCCTCAGGCAGGGCCAGTCCCTGCTTCGGTCTAGATACAGCCACCCTTTCTCCCACAGGCCGGGGTGCAGTGGGCTGCCCTGGGGTGGGGGCTTAGTGCCCAGAGAAGCCCTATCGCCGCAGGGACTCCCGAGAGTCCTGGCTGAGGGGCCCATCGCCTTCCTCCGCACGGCCTGTGGCCTCACTTCCCCTCCGCCGCTGTTCCGAGCAGCCCCGGGGCCTGGCCACGAACAACCTTCTCGTACAACAGGCTGATCCCATCTGTGCCCCACCCCGACCCTGCGCAGAGCCCGCCTGCGCTTTAGCTCTTCACCAACCTTCCCCAGCTTGAGGTCCTTATTGAGCACAGGTAACAAAAGGTGACATTCTCACAGCCCAGCAGAGACCCTGAGGTGATACCCATCCATTTGGAGATGCCCCCACCCCTGCAAGACCCTTACCCTGCAAGACAGTGAGACCACATTGGGCGCAGAGCGAGGGGTGGTCCCTTAGCCAAGACCGTGTGAGATGGGCAGGGTCCCTGCGCTGCCCTGTCCGCCTGGGTGCTTGGCTGGGCTGCTCCTGGGCCCCAGCCCCCAGCTGCACCCCGACTCCGGGTCTCGTGCAGAACAGAAAGACAAGGCAAACTCAGGGTGCGGGGCTCCTGGCGCTGGTCTTGGATGAGAACGTGGACGGGCTCCCGGCCTGGGCAGCCAGGGAGGGGGTAGCAGAGCGGGTGCTGCGCTGCTGGCCTGGGCCTGGGCCCTGGGGCTGGTCCACGTGGCCTTCTGCCGCTCCAGACCATCCGGCCCCCGGCACAGCCCCCGCGCCGCACCCGCAGCCTGGGAGCTCCGTGGCGGCCTGCGGCCTCCTTCCGGAGGTGGTCCGTGAACCCTCAGCATTGCCTGGTGGTTGACCATGCCCTGTGTGCTGGCTCCCCTCTGCGGCCCTTGCTCCCTCCCCCGAGGGAGCGGGTGGCTTTGGAGCATGGCCACCAGGGGGCCTTCTGGGCACAGCATGGACTCAGGCCTGCTGGGGATAACCCTGGGGGCCTCAGGCAGCTGGGCTCTGGCCCTCCTTCCTTGAGGCAGACCCCCCACCCCAGGCTGGGGCCAAGGCTCGGTCCACCCCCAACCGCCCTCGGTGCTGCGCTCTGGCTGCTGTCTGCAAAGGGGAGGCGGCCAGTGGCCTGCCCTTGGCCCCCCACCCCCAGCTGTGGGTCCTTTGGTGGGCGCCCACCGGGAGGCTGGCCCTGAAATGGCCCTGAGGGCTCAGCTGGGGGCCCCAAGGTGCTCACGGGCTGCGGAGGAGTTGGGTGCCCGCCTGCGTCCCTGAGAGTCACAGGGCCTGGGCTGGGGCGGCAGGATGCGGCCCCGCTCTCCCTTTGACTCACGCTTTCTCACCTTCTTGACTTTCCACTGAGAGCCTCTCATTCTGACCTGTTTCTAGGCCAAACCTCGGGGCCCCGTTTCGCAGCCGGCAGGTTCCCATGACAGGGGCCCTGTGGCCGCCAACCCGAGCTGGCAGGTGTGTGACTCGGGAGCAGCGGACCCAGGGCAGAGGGCAGGGAGGGTCCCCTGAATCACCCAGAAAGGCAGCAGGTTGTGGGTGTGGGTGAGGCCTGTGGTGAGGCCTCGGCCAGCCTGGCCGTGCAAACAGGAAGGGCACGGTGCCGCCAGGCAGAGCCAGGCCGCTAGCTGGCTGCGGTGGCCTTGCCCCTTCCCTGCCCCCTGCCCACCTGCGGGGGGCCCAGGGCGTGGCTGCTCTGCGGGGCCCCTGCCAGAGGGGAGATGCCAGGGTGGGGCCGACGGCTCAGCGCCACCCGGGGCATCCCCCTAAACGTCGGGGCAGCTGGAAGGGCACAAGCCGGCAGCTGCCGCAGGCTCTGGGCGGGGCCCGGTGCCCACCGGCGGCGCGCCAGGCCTGGCTGCTGGACGCGCACCACAGGCCGGCAAATGCCGGGTCCTCCGGCCTCCCCGCCCTCCTTCCACATTGCGCAAAGCCCCGCCGCAGCTCGGAGGTTCTGCAGGGGCGGGGAGCCCCGCAGACGCCACGCTGCCCCCCTCCCGCACCTGCCTCTGTCTCCTCCGCGGATCTCAGGCCGGCTCCCGGCTCCGCCCTGGCAGCGGTCTAGTCCTCATGGGGGGCAGGCGCCCCAGAGTGAAGAAGGATGGGGACAGCGGGCCATGCAAGGTCCCCAGAATGGGGTGAGGCAGCACCCCAGCCAGTGGTTCCTGTTTGCTCTTCCTTCCATGACAGCCATTCTGCAGATTCGAGAGCCTGACCGGCCAGGAGGCCCCCGGAAGCCGAGCACGAGGGGCGCGCCTGGCCCTGCCACGTCCAGGACCCAGCAAGGGTCCAGCCAGGCCGAAGGAGGCTGATGGGCACCGGCTGAGCTCAGCACGGGGAGGGGGCCGGAGCTCAGGGGAGGCCCACCTCGTCTCCAGCTCGGAGGAACTGGAGCAGAAGGGGAAGGAACTTGACCTCCAGGCCTGGGCCCCCAGGGCCGGCCGGAGGGCAGCGGTGGGGGGAGGAGAAGGCGCCTGGACTTCTGCCTTCCTGTTCCCGGAGCAGGCACCAGCCCCCTACCTGCCAGCGTCGGGGACACAAGGACTCCTTCCCTTTCCACCCTGGAAAGCCCCCTCTGGAGGAAGAGGCCTGGCGCCCCGAGGGCAGGCCCCTGCCCGCACTCCAAGCTGGCCGGGCCTTCCGCGGACGCACGTCCTGGGGGAGGAAAGAAGGCCCGTGGCCCCGCAGCCCACCCTGGGGCCAGGCCCGGGCTGGCGTCTGCCCGTCCTGGGCACGCGCTGCAGCCTGCTGCGGACACTCCCGGGACCCCAGTACAGTCCCCCTCTCTGGGAATCCGGCTTCTGGGGCGGCAGGGATGAGGGGGGCCCACCCCAGCGAGAAGCCACGGGCCCCTGGCAGAGCTGAGCTCGGCACATCTGCAGTGCCAGGGTCCGGGAGCGGCAGAGCTGGGCGGGCGTCGGGCAGGGGAAGTGGGTGATCCTACCGCAGGAGGGGCCTCCCAGGGACGTGCACCCTGCTTTCCGGGGCTGGGCGGTGGGCAGTGACTGGGCCCTTTACGGCGGGGGCTCTCCTGGGAAGAGGGGGTTGGCCTGGTATTGGGCTCCGGATGGCGCCCTCCTATAACCGCCTGCCTCCCCCCACCCCCCGGCCAGAGGGTTAGAGGAGAACGCGGGCGAGTTAGCCAGGGCGGTGGTTGATGCCAAAGGTCCCCCCTCCCCCACGAGGGCGGGGGCGGGGCAGGAGCAGGAAGATGCTCTGGTTTCTCTCATCTCGGGCAGATGAAAGGAAGGCTGAGCGTGGGGGCGCCGCTGTGATTTCAGGGTGCCTCTGCTAGTGGCTGCCGTGATTGGAGATTCTTGGGTGGCTAGAACTGGGCGCTGTGGATGAGTAACCCCGGTGAGTGTCTGGTCTCCGGGGAGACCTGGGCTGGGAGGAAGGGGCTCGCGGGTGAGGCCGGGAAGACACCTCTCCTCCCCGTGTCCCGTGCAGGATGTGGCCCCACTCAGAGGCATCGGGCCTTGGGGACGCTGGCTGGAGCGGCCCTGCTCTCCACCCTATGGGTCCTGTGGCAACTCAGGTCGGCCCCCGGGGCCACCCCCGCACCGCCGCCCACGCTCACCATCCTCATCTGGCACTGGCCCTTCACCGACCAGCCCCCAGAGCTGCCCAGCAACACCTGCGTCCGCTACGGGGTGACCCGCTGCCGCCTGAGCACCAACCACAGCCTGCTGGCCAGCGCGGATGTCGTGGTCTTCCACCACCGCGAGCTGCAGAGCCAGCGGGCCCGCCTTCCGCTGGCCGAGCGGCCACCTGGGCAGCCCTGGGTGTGGGCCTCCATGGAGTCGCCCAGCCACACCCACGGCCTCCACCGCCTCGGTGGCATCTTTAACTGGGTGCTCAGCTACCGGCGTGACTCGGACATCTTCGTGCCCTACGGCCGGCTGGAGCCTCGCCAGGGGCCCGCCCGGCCGCTGCCGGCCAAGAGCAGCGTGGCTGCCTGGGTGGTCAGCAACTTCCGGGAGCAGCAGCGCCGCGTGCAGCTGTACCGGCAGCTGGCACCTCACCTGCGGGTGGATGTGTTCGGCCGTGCCAACGGGCGGCCTCTGTGTGCCGACTGCCTGCTGCCCACCGTGGCGCGCTACCTCTTCTACCTGTCTTTCGAGAACTCGCAGCACCGAGACTATATCACCGAGAAGTTTTGGCGTAACGCTCTGGCAGCGGGCACCGTCCCTGTGGTGCTGGGGCCCCCGAGGGCCACCTACGAGGCCTTTGCACCTGCTGATGCCTTCGTGCACGTGGACGACTTCAGCACAGCCCAGGAGCTGGCCTCGTTCCTGGCGGGCATGAACGAGAGCCGCTACCGGCGCTACTTTGCCTGGCGAGAGCGGCTCCGGGTGAGGCTGTTTGGAGACTGGCGAGAGCGCTTCTGTGCCATCTGCACCCACTACCCCCGCCTACCCCGAGGCCAGGTCTACCAGGACCTTGAGGGCTGGTTCCAGGCCTGAGCTCTGGCTGCAGCAGGAGGCAGAGGAGGGCAGCTGGGTGCTAGCGGTATGGGTGGAAGGCTGGGTGTTGAAATCAAACCACCAGGCATCCGGCCCCGACGCACAGCCATCAGGTTAATGCGGAGGCTGGGGTCAGAGGCTAGAAAGCAGGGGTCTAGGAGGAATGGGCTGATCTAAGCAGGCTGCCTGGAGGAGGCTGGTGAGCATCGGAATAAGCATCTGCGGGTGAAGGTTGAGAGCATGGAGTTAATGGGAGTGCGTGTTGCTAGTGGGTCAAAGGTACAGGCTCCCACGCCCTCCGAGGACCTCCCTCCCCGGGGGCCTTGGTGAGATGCTGGGTGAAGCAAGGCTACCCAGACACAGGCTGGGAGAGGCCAGAGGCTGGGCCTGGGGGTGTGCCCTCCTGCGGTCTGTGCGGGGAGACTGTGCCCCTGGGCCGCCTCCGTAGGTGATCGTCGGCCAGTCGTGCGGCCACATCACGTGCCCTCCACGGTGCTGCACCACCACGGGCAGACCTGTGCCAGGCCCAGGGACACCCGCCGTCCACTCTGGGAGGGGCAGCCACCAATAAAGGGAGGCCGAGAACGGCATGTGCTGACTCCTCGTCTCTCTGCCCGCCCCCGCCCGCCCCCGCCGCCTCACCCCTGCCACACAGGCCTCCTTGTCCTGAGGGAATGGGGCCCGCTCCTCCTCAAGCAAGGCCTCTGAGCTCCCTGTGCTTGAGAGACCCTCCTCCACGCTGCTCCCGCCTCCTCGCTTCCTTTAGCCCTTGCAACCGTTAGCCTTCCCTGACTGAGGGGCGTGGAGAGTACGGGGTGCCGAGGCCTGAAACCTGGCTCCGGGGGTCAAGGATACCCCGTCCTCAAGACCCTGGGATTTCACTTTCAGGCTGCAGAGGTGTCTGGAGTGTGGCAGGGTTTGGTTTGTGATACAGGGTTCTCTCTTACAGGTGGCTGGCGGCCGCAAGGGCAGAAACGGGTGCTGACAATGGGCGGGGCAGTCGGGGCAGCCCCCCCTCCCCGTCGCAGGCTGCATGGGGGGGTGAGGAGAGGAGAAGCTGGGGGTGCTGACAGGGGCTCTGACGGGCCGAGCCCCTGGGGCCGGGGGCAGGGGACAGGATCCCCCCTGCCCCAGGTGGGGTTGGGCGGCCTGTGGAGGCAGGAAGCTGCCCTCCCTCTTGGCAGTGGCTTGTGGGAAAGGCCTGCCAGTGACTTCCTGCCCTGACCTAGTCAGGGAAAAGGAAGTGTCCTGAGGATGCACGGATGCACGGTGGGGTGGTTGGGGGACAGTGCCCCCCACCCGCCCAGCCCCACTGTGAAGGGGCTAGGAAGGGGCAGGTAGCTGTGGCCCCCAGCCCTTTAGCTTAGGGTGCGCCTTCCGTGTGAACTGCAGACACTGGGCATCTGGGCCCTGCAGCTCCCATTGGTAAGTGGGGAGACTGAGGCCGGTGAGGAGCCGTCAGAGCCGCCCACAGAGGCTCCCTGCCCTCTGCTGTCCTCTGCTGGCCCCCCTGGGAAGCTGCAGCCTCGTTCCCCCAAGCATCCAACTGCCTCTGCGGAATCCACTCCATTCCAAAGTCCGCATGTAGAGGCCTGCCTCGCTCCCCGATGCGGAGAGAAAAACGAGCCACTTACGGTGGAGGCAGCCTCAGTCCCCTCAAGCCCCCTGCCTACCGCACCTGCCAAGGCCAGAGAGCTGCCCCCCCCCCCCAGCCAGCCCACCTGCCACTTGGTACCAAGTGGCTCCTTCACAAGGGACCAAGGGACACACGAAGTTCTTCCAGCGGCGGGACAGCCCACGCGCACCACCTCTGACAAGTGCCCACCCCTCCCTTAAGAGGGGTGGGTTAAGAAGCCCCTGGTGGGGCCAGATCGTTGCTTCTGGAAGCCCTGCGGGTGGACATGGCCTGCCCTACACAGTGGGGTCTCCAGCCAGCGCTAAGCTTTCCCCTCCCCACGTGTGGGCCTGGCGGTGACCCTGGGGAGCGAGACCTGGCTCTGACGACAGATGAAATTCCTGCCAGCAGCGCTTGTACACATCCGGGTGGAGGGGGTGGCCCAGTGGGGGCCCGAGTCTCCCCCAGCATCCTGTCAGGGCGCCCTGGGGGCCGGTGACCGCCTTGGGGCGCCTCTGCCGCGCGCAGGCCCCCCGACGCCCCCGAGACAAAAGTGCCCCGGAGGAGGGTGAGTCGGAGTCTCGGTTTAGATGTGGGCGCGTCACTTCAACACCTGGCGACCTGGGGGCGACCAAGGAGCCCCGTGGGGGGGGGCGGGCAGAGCTCCAGGAACGCCCCGGCCCGGCGGCGGGCGGTGGGGGCGCGGACCTCGGCGGTGGCGCGCGCAGCCGGCGCCTTTAAGCGGGGGCGGCGCGGGCGGGGGGCGGGCGCGAGCGGCCGCCGGGGCGGAGCCAGCGCGGAGCCGGTCCCGGACGCCCGAGACCCCGCCCCGCGCGGGCGATGCCGAGCGGCGCGGCGGGCGGCGGGGCCGGCGGGGCGCGCAGAGGAGCGGGCCGCGGCTGGAGGGCGGCCGGAGCGCAGCCCCGCCATGGGCTTCCTGCACCAGCTGCAGCTGCTGCTCTGGAAGAACGTGACGCTGAAGCGCCGGAGCCCGGTGAGCGACCCCGCGCGCCTCCCGGCCCGCCCCGAGCCGGAGGGCGCGCGCACCGGGGCCCGCGGCGCGCCTTCCGCGCGCACGTGAGGCCGGGCGCGCGCAGACCCCGGGCGGGCGCCGGGGGCGGCGGGCCGGAGACCCTTCCCCGCGGGACCGCACCCGCCCCGGCGGCCTCCGGCCTCCGGGGAGCGGGGTCGGCCGTGCCCAGCCCGCGGCCCGCGCCCGCTGACATTCGCGGTGCTCGGCTGAGTCACGGGATGGGCGCCGTGCGCGGAGCGCTCTTGGGGTTTAGCTGCGAGAGTAGGGGGGCCAGCTGCCCCGAGACCCTAGGGTCGCGGGAGGCCCTGGTTCCCGGGACGAGGGCAGGCATGGGGGGGGACTCTGTGCAGCCCAGAGGGTCCTTGGCCTCTGGGCCCAGTCCCCCTGGAGCCCCCGCAGGGACCCTGCCCCTTCCCTCCCTGCACCACCCCTCTGCCCTTGGGCAGACACCTCTCTTCCTCCCCCTCCTCCTCCCCGTTTACCTCCTCCTCCCTCCCCCCCCTTCACCCTTGCCGAAAGTCCACTAGCCCTTGCTCCTGCCTCCTCACCAATGGGAATGCCCTTGCTGTGCCAGCGTCGGCCAGCCTGCACCCCTGCACCCTTTTGTCCTTTGGGGTAGTTTTCCCTGAGGGCCATCCGCCTTCTGGTCTCCCCAACCCCAGCTTCCTTGGGAACCGGATCCTGCTATTTGGAGATGTGACCTCCAAGCACCCCAGCTGTCCACCCTGTGCCCGGGGCAGCGAGGGACCTGAGGGTGCAGGATACAGCAGCTGGCAGAGGCGGAGGCTGTGGTGAGGGGCCGGCCTGGGCAGAGCGGGCACCATCCCGCCGGCCCTCGCCACTCTTGCCCCGGGAAGGACAGGGTCATCTCCTGTTGTTCTGCCCCGCTGGCCGCAGCACATGCACCAGAGAGGCCCCGGGCAGCTCCGGTTTCTGAATGGGCCCTGGGGATTTTCCACAGCGAGGCCCAGAGCAGGCCGGGGTCCAGAGCGGGGGCCTGAGCAGGAGGCAACATCTTCCCTACCTGGGGCCCAAGAGGCTCCTCCCCCACCTGACTCTGAGACCACTTGGGCGGATGCGCCTCTGCTGGGTCCCTCCTGGAGAAGGGCTCTGGGGTGCATGACGAGAACCTCAGGGCTGCAGACGGGGTGGGGTGGCCATCATCACCACGGCTGGCGGGAGTGCCCCGGGCACCTGAGCCTGGCAGGGAGCCGGGCTTGAGTACACTCCCTGCCCACGTGCCTGGGGCTGGCTGGCACCGGGTCCCGTGGGTCAGGCTGCAGCCTCTAGTGCACCTTCCCCTGCTTCAGATTTGGGGTCACTGGGGACACCAGGGCGGGGCTCGGGAGGAAGGGGATCGGGGTATGGGCATGCATCAGTATTACCCCAGGGTTCTCAGCAGGAAGGGTCTCCCGGGGGCTGGGAGCAGAGCCTAGAACGTGGCCCCTGTATCCACTGGAGACGTCAAGGCTCAGGGAGGGGAGCAGTGGCTTGTGGGGCACCTGGCGAGCAGGTGGGAGGTGCCTACTGCCCTACACCCAGGAGTGGCCCCCGCCTGCTAGGTTGGGCCTTCACTAGAATCTTCCTGAACCCTGCCCAGCGGCACCGCCAGGGGCTGGTTAGGCCACGTGGAGGTCCTTGGCCTGAGGCCACAGCACATCGAAATTCCTCCTCCAGGGTGGCTAAGGCCTTGCTGGGCTCATGCCACGGGGCTGGGGCAGGGGCTGGCCCCCCACTTTTCTGGGAGTATCGGGCTTCGGAGTTGGACCTGTGGGCTTGGCCAACAGAGGTCCTGCTCTGCATTCTATGCGCTTCTCCGGGGCGTGGGGAGGGCTTGGTTCCGAGGGAAGGGACGAAGGATCTCTGTGCCCTGCTCGCTCACGCTTGCCAACCTCTGTGCCTTGGTTTCTCCATCTGTGAGTGTCGCCTGTCCCCTTTTAGCTGGGCACGGGTCTGCCCTGCTGTAGGGACTGGGGGAAGAGTCAGGCCACTCCATCTTCAGGTCTCCTCTGTTCTCCACTCGACACAGCAGGGGGTGGCTCGGCCCAGAGGGGGCACCCGGCCCCAGCAACACCACGGGGGCACTGCGCTAGTCTCAAGGGGCTGGGGTTTAACCACCTTGCAGGCCGTCTGTGGGGTGCCCAGGTGGAGCTGAACCTGCACTGCCTGCTTGTAACCAGATGCCCCTCTGGCCGCCCGGCTGCCAGGCAGGCCTCCCTCCTCCCAGCAGCTCCTGCGCCGCTGTTGCTATGGCAATGAGGAGGTAGCCGTGGCCTGTTGCTGCAGTTACGCGGTGGAGGTGCCCAGTGGCAGGGCGGGTGTGGGTGGGGCTGGCACCATGGCCGTGACCCTGGGCTCCCGCATCGCCGCTTGCATGCAGCTGCCCTCACTCTGTGTACGCGTGTGTGACATCTGTGCCCGTCCCCAGCCCTGGGGGTGCCCATGGTGTCTCTCCGGCCAGCCCTGGGAGGAGGTGGAGGCTGGCACGGGCTGGGGCGGGCGTGGGGTGCGGACACACAGTGGGGTGTTTCAGGCCACAGAGCGCTATTGTCAGAGGGCAGTAAACAGGAGCAGCTGTTCCACCCTGGGGGACTGGAAGCTCGGGCCCTGGGCCCGGCGGAATGCCACCGGGGTGGGGGCCCTGAAGCCGCTTTGGGGGTGGGGGGCGAGAAGGAAGGAAACCTGGAGCCTCTAAGAGCCAGGTGGGGTGTGAGGGTCAGGGTGTGTCTTTGGGCTGAGCGGGGCTCCCCCTGAGAGCGGCTGGCCTGAGGTCCTCTCTCCGCCTTCCCTCCCTGAGCTGGTGGGGGGTGGGGGTCGCGGGAGTGAGACACAGGGAGACTGGGTCCCCGGGGCCGCTGGCGTTTCTCTCCCACACAGAGCAGTTCTACCAGGGCTCACCTTGGCGCTCAGGCGGGGGTGTCAGGGTGCCAGGGGCAGTCCCAGGAACACTGAACAGGGTGCTGGGCGGGCAGACAGGGCTGCCGAGCCCCCCTGAGCCTCATGGGGGCGCAGGGAAGGGGCCGGGGCGGAAGGAGGGACCTGTGCCGCAGGCACTCAGGACTGTCCGACCTCTGACCAGGTTCCCCTGGAGGCTCAGGGCCCTGGGCTAGAGCCATGCCTCCCCCTGGCCAGGCCTGGGCTTCCTCAGCTCTTTTGTGGGGTGTAATGATGCTGCTACAGTGAGAAGTACTGACTCTGGGGAGGTGTGGGTGCTGAGATGGCGCCCAAGGCCATCTCCAAGATCCTAGCCAAGAGAAGGTGGGGAAGGGGAAGCTGAGCTGGGCAGATGCTCGGGTCAGAGTAGACCACAAGCTGGCTGTTTTGTCTCGACTGGCAGTTCAATGTGGCAAACAGAACCTGGGCTGTGGGGCAGGAGGCTGATATGCTCGGGGCAAACACTCATGACCTTGCCTTTCCAAGAGGCCCTGGAAGGGAGGAGGTGGGGGTGCAGACTCTGTTGACCCTGAAGGGCCTGGGGTGACCCTTTGTGGCCTCTGTGGGAATATGTGGGGTCCAGGCTGGCCCTGCCTGCCACAGAGACATCTGTCTGTCTGGGGAGGGGAGGGCAGTCCTGCCCAGCCCCTGGCAGGCGGTGCGGGAGGCCAGGCTGCCCCGGGCAGGTGGCCTTACTCAGCCCGCCCTTTCCAGTGGGTCTTGGCCTTCGAGATCTTCATCCCTCTGGTCCTCTTCTTCATTCTGCTGGGGCTGCGGCAGAAGAAACCCACGATCTCTGTGAAGGAAGGTGAGCGGCTTTGGGGGTGGGCCCAGGGCACAGCTGGGCGGTCAGGGTGGAGCCAGAGGCCTGTCCCGCGTGTGCTCGGCCGCGCGCCCCAGCCGCCACGCTCGCTGGCGCGGTCCCCGGCCGCGTGCCCTGGCCGGGCGGGCGGCCGTCCCTCACGGTTGTCCTCTGTTCTGTTTTGGCCGCCCCTGCATGGCCCCTGCACCCTCCTCCCGGGCCCGCATGCAGTCTGTAAGTGAGGCCTCCCTGCTGCAGCCTGAGCGCGCCCCGACCCTGCTTGCATTAACAGCCTTTCCGGGCCTGGCTGCGTTCTGCAGACCCCCTGCCTACTGTCGGGGACAGCTGGCGCGCTGGGGGACGGTGGGCGGGGGGTTGCTGAAGGGTGCCTGGGCCAGATGGCTCCCAGGTCAAGCTTCTGGGGGCTTTCCATCTCTCCACAGGGTCGCCTGGCCCTGCCTTGCAGGGCCGGGGCCAGGTCACCTGGCTGCCCCCCCCCGCAGGCCCCCATGGGTCCCTGCATCCTCTCCGCTAACCAGCTGGCCAGAGAGGTCAGAGGTCACTGCCCCAGTGGGGGCCCCATGTGCTCCGCTGGGTTGCTGGGTTGTGACCGCCGTGCCACACCTGAATTCTTGGGGACGGTGTCAGGGCACTTTGGCCTTGACTGGCTAAAGGAAGAGGGACACCCTGGGAGTTGGGGACAGCAATGTCGAGATATCCTTTGACCTCTGACCTGCTGGGGTCATTTGCACCAGAACTCTCGGCCCTCCCCTCCCCCCCTCCCGTCTGCTACCTGAAGCTGCTTTTCCTTCCTGACTTTCTCTAAATTTCTTTATTCGGCTTCCATCTCCCTTCCCGTTCTTGACTCCTTCCCTGTCTCCTGGCCTTCTGTCTCCACCTGTCGGGTCCTCTCACCTGGCCTGACCGTCCCCCGTCCCCAGCTTTCTACACGGCAGCACCGCTCACGTCTGCGGGCATCTTGCCCGTCATGCAGTCTCTGTGCCCGGATGGCCAGCGAGATGAGTTTGGCTTCCTGCAGTACGCCAACTCCACGTGAGTGCCCCCGCCCCACCCGCCGGGAACCCGCTGCCCCTCCAGAGGCCAGCGGGTGACCTTGGATGGTGGTGCAGGGTCACTCAGCTTCTGGAGCGCCTCAACCGCGTGGTGGAGGAGGGTAACCTGTTTGACCCGGCACGGCCCGGCTTGGGCTCGGAGCTTGAGGCCCTGCGCCAGCACCTGGAGGCCCTCCGCTCGGGCCCGGACTCCTGGGAGAGCCTTCAGGAAAGACCTGCAGGTACACGCTGGGCCCTGGGGGGGCTGGGTTGGGCCTGTGGGGGGGGCGGGGGCTGGACAGACATGCAGGTACACGCTGGGGGGCTGGGCCTGCTGGGGGGGGTGCTGACAGACCTGCAGGTATGTGCTGGGCCCTGGGGGGGCCGGCCCGAGCCTGCTCGGGGAGCGGGGCTTGAGGCTCGAGTTCCGGTGTCAGCTGGGTTCAAAACCCCAGCTTAGTCACTTCTGACCACGGGCTCACAGCTGGGCCTCCGTCTGAACCGCCACCCCGCGTTAGCGGGGCAGACGTGCTCAGGCGGTCCTGGCCGAGCTGACCGCCACAGTGGCCGAGCCGGTGCGGGGAGCTTGGCCCCGAATCTGTTCTGGGTGCCCAGACCCGGGCCCAGCCGGCCCTCAGTGCCATCCTTCTGCCTGTCCAGTGTCCTCCTTCTCACTGGGCTCGGTGGCCAGGGACCCACGGGAGCTCTGGCATTTCCTGATGCAGAATCTGTCGCTGCCTAACAGCACGGCCCAGGCCCTCCTGGCTGCCCGGGTGGACCTGCCTGAGGTGAGGTGGCCCAGGAGGCCTCGGTGGGCACGTGTCTACTCCTGGTGTGGCTCTCAGCCCTGGGCCCTGACTCCACCCTCCTCCCCTGCTTGTAGGATGGAGAGCACGGGGGAGGGTGGGATGGAGGGCAAGAGGTGGGGGTCGGGGGGCGGGGCCCTGAGGCAGCCCCTGGGCCAGGCTCTGGAACCCCCTGGCTTGATCCATGCCCCCTCTACCCCCCAGGTCTATCACATGGTTTTTGGCCCTTCGCCTGCCCTAGATGTGGGGTCAGGACTCCCCAGGGGTCAGGAGCCCTGGACCAATCCCCTATTCCGGATGGAGGTGAGGGGGCCTCTAAGTGGGATGGGGGTGTGCTGCCTGCCTCTGCCCGAGTGGGTGACAAAAGAGGCCCCCTTGATAATCCCAAGCTTCTCCTGGGGGGTGAGGGAGGTCTCTGAGTCTGTGACTGGCATGGAGAGCGGGAAGGCAGGGCAGTGACGTGTGTCCATGCCTCCTCCTACCCCGTCGTCACAGAGCCTGGGCTGTCTCAGACGCGGCGCAGTGGGTGGGGCAGGGGGCTACCCACGGCCTTCCCAGGCCGGGGCCTTGGTCTGCTCTGGGCCGAGGCTCGTGCCCAGACATTCCCTGCGCCTCATCCCCAGGAGCTGCTGCTTACACCTGCCCTCCTGGAGGAGCTCACGTGTGCCCGGGGCTCTGGGGAGCTGGGCCGGATCCTCACGGTGTCCCCGGGGCAGCAGATGGCGCTGCAGGGCTACCGGGATGCCGTCTGCAAGGGGCAGGCCGCAGCCCGCGCCCGGCGCTTTTCGGGGCTGGCTGCCGAGCTCCACAACCAGCTGGATGTGGCCAAGATGGCACAGCAGGTGAGGTCCTGCCTGCTGGCCGGCCCACGGCTGCACGGTGCCGGGGCCCCTTGCCGTCCTGGGGCCTCCTGGGCCCAGGACTGTGGGTGGGGGAAGCCCGTGGCTGGGTATCCCCGGCTCCCCCAGAGACGCCACACCTCGTGTCCCCTGCCCCGCCCCGTGGCCTCACCCCAGTGTGCCCCCTAGCCCCTAGCCAGCGCTCCCCTTCTCCGGGATGCAGACTCTTCCCCCGCCTCTAGGCCTAGCCTGGGCCCTCCCTGACCCACCTTCTCCAGCGCCCACTCCGCCCCCTCTCCAGGGCCTGCATTTCCCCACGTGCCCCGTTTCTCCTCAGCTGGGCCTGGACGCCCCCAACGGCTCGGCCCCCCAGCCGCCGCCCCCACAGAGGCTGCAGGCGCTGCTGGAGGACCTGCTGGACGCCCAGAAAGTTCTGCAGGATGTGGACGTCCTCTCGGCCCTGGCCCTGCTGCTGCCGCAGGGCGCCTGCGCCCGGCGCGCTCCGGGGCCCCCGGCCAGCGGCCCCGGCAGGACGGCCAACGGCACGGGCTCCAACTCCACGGCGGAGGAGGGGGCGCCGTCCGCTGCGGCTCCCGCCGCCTCCGACGCGCTGCAGGGCCAGTGCTCGGCCTTCGTGCAGCTCTGGGCCGGGCTGCAGCCCATCCTGTGCGGCAACAACCGGTAGGCGGGCGGCAGGGAAGGGGGCGGGGAGACAGATGGGGTGGGGCCTGACCCCTGGCCCGGCTCTGACCGAACCCCCCATCTTGACCCCCGGCACGTACTCTGTTTGCGGACCCCGTGTCCCCTCCCTCCGGAGGCACCCCTTCCACGCTGAGGTCCCGCCCCTTAGTTATGGGAGCCCCGCCCCGCCCCTCACGCCCCGCCTCCGCCCCTCACGCCCCGCTCGGCTCCCTCACGCCCCGCCCACCCGCCACAGGCCCCACCCCTCGCGCCCCGCCCACCGCCCCTCGCGCCCCGCCCCCTGCCCTCACGCCCCGCCCACCTGCCCTCACGCCCCGCCCCCCGCCCTAGCACCATCGAGCCCGAGGCCCTGCGGCGGGGCAACATGAGCTCCCTGGGCTTCACCAGCAAGGAGCAGCGGAACCTGGGCCTCCTCGTGCACCTCATGACCAGCAACCCCAAGATCCTGTACGCGCCCGCGGGCTCCGAGGCCGACCGCGTCATCCTCAAGGTTCGCGAGTCTGGCGCGCGCTTGAGCCGCGCGAGTCTGCCGGGCACACGGTTCCGCAGGCCGCGCCCCTGTGCCAAGTGGGGTCGTGGAGCTGGCATGGGAGGGGCGCAGCCGGCACGTGACTGACTCGGTCTGTGCCGGGAGGCCCCACAGGGGCGTCCAGAGTGCGGAGGCCCTTGGGGGCTGGGAGTGGCCAGCAGCGCTGGTTTGGGGAGAGGAGAGGGCGCCCGCGGGCACCTTCCACAGCAGCATCCGGGGGGCCGTGTTTGGGTGGGGCCAGTGGGCAGGATGGGGCCGGCTGAGGGCAAGACGTCAGTGGGCGATCCGGGGCGGAGTCCCGTCTGAGAGAAGTAGAAGCTAGGGCTGGAAATGGCCTGGGAAGGAGGGAGCCTGTGGAGGGGTCTCTGGGATGACTGGCAGCGGGGAGGCGAGGGCGTGTGGAGAAGGGTCTGACACAGGAGCGGGGGCAGAGCCGGTTTTGTGGGGGTGGCTGCGGAAAGGTGTCGGGGGGCTCCAGCTTCCAGGTGGCAGTCTGGCCAGAGCAACATTGGGGTTTGGAGACGACTGGCCTGGGGGGAGACGAAGGAGTGGAGGCCCCCTCCCCCCCGCTGGCTGGGGTTCCTCCCTGAGCCCCATGACCCGTGCCCTCACCCTCTGCAGGCCAACGAGACCTTTGCCCTTGTAGGCAACGTGACTCACTATGCCCAAGTGTGGCTCAACATCTCTGCCGAGATCCGCAGCTTCCTGGAGCAGGGCAGGCTGCAGCAGCACCTGCACTGGCTGCAGCAGGTGCTGGGGGTGCTCACTGGGGGGTGGGGGTGCAGGGCCCCCCGCGTCAGCGCCCGCCCTGAGCCTGGCTTCCGCCCCCAGTATGTGGCAGACTTGCGGCTGCACCCGGAGGCGCTGAACCTGTCGCTGGAGGAGCTCCCGCCGGCCCTGCGACAGGACAACTTCTCGCTGCCCAACGGCTCGGCGCTCCTGCAGCAGCTGGACACCATCGACAACGCGGCCTGTGGCTGGATCCAGTTCATGTCCAAGGTGGGGTGCGCGGCCCCGCGGGCTCCGCCGGGGCCCAGGGCCGGCTCTGACCACGCCCTTCCCCGCAGGTGAGTGTGGACATCTTCAAGGGTTTTCCCGACGAGGAGAGCATCGTCAACTATACCCTCAACCAGGCCTACCAGGACAATGTCACCGTGTTTGCCAGTGAGCTGGGCCCCCTCGGGCGGGTCCCCAACGCCTGCTCTTCTGCCAACCCCCTCCTGCAGCCCCAGCCTCCGGTCTCTCCATCACGGCCCTCCGTCCGCTCTGCCTACCCCCCCGCCCCGCCCCTGTTCCTTCTTCTTCAGCTTCACCCCCCCTCCCCGCTGGCCCTGCCCTACAAGACCCCCATCTTTTCCCGGCCCCACCCCTCACTCCCTAGCACTGTGAGCCCCTGGCCTGCGCCCCGCCCCATCCCGGCCCCGCCCCTGTAACCGCATCTTCCCGGCTCTCCAGCCCCACCTTTTCCCTGGACCTGCCCCTCGTGCCCCAGCCCTGCCCTGGCTGGACAGTCCCCTTCAGGCCCCGCCCCTTCCTCCCTTCTCGCCTTCACCCCACAGCCAGCCTGGGCTGCGCCCCTCCACCTGCCCCTCGTCCCGTCCCCAGGCGTGATCTTCCAGACCCGAAAGGACGGCTCCCTGCCGCCGCACGTGCACTACAAGATCCGCCAGAACTCCAGTTTCACCGAGAAAACCAACGAGATCCGCCGGGCCTACTGGCGGCCGGGCCCCAACACCGGCGGCCGCTTCTACTTCCTGTATGGCTTCGTCTGGATCCAGGGTGAGGGCCGCTCCTGGGGCAGCCGGGGTGGGGCCTGGCCGCCCCCCACGCCGTGGCTGACCTCTCCCGCCTGCAGACATGATGGAGCGTGCCATCATCAACACCTTCGTGGGGCACGACGTGGTGGAGCCCGGCAACTACGTGCAGATGTTTCCCTACCCCTGCTACACGCGCGACGAGTGAGTGTGTGTTGGGGGGGGGGGGCCGGGGCTGGGGCTCAGGAAGAGCCCGTCCCCTCATGCCCCTGCCCCGACCTCAGCTTCCTGTTTGTCATCGAGCACATGATGCCTCTCTGCATGGTGATCTCCTGGGTCTACTCAGTGGCCATGACCATCCAGCACATCGTAGCGGAGAAGGAGCACCGGCTGAAGGAGGTGGGGGGACAGGGGTGGGGGGGTGGGGGGCAGGGCAGGGATAGAGGCAGCGGGAGCAGTGACGTTGGAGGGGAGGCTGTGGGCACCGCCCCTTCCCTGGGCCTGGCTGGCAGGACAGAGGCAGGTCGTCCCTTTGTGGCACCCCATCCCGAGGCCTCCTGCCCACAGGTGATGAAGACGATGGGCCTGAACAATGCGGTGCACTGGGTGGCCTGGTTCATCACGGGCTTTGTGCAGCTCTCCATCTCGGTGACGGCACTCACGGCCATCCTCAAGTACGGCCAGGTTCTCATGCACAGTCACGTGCTCATCATCTGGCTCTTCCTGGCCGTCTATGCGGTGGCCACCGTCATGTTCTGGTGAGCACCGCGGGGCTGGCAGGGCTGGAGGGAGCCTTGCTGGGCCCGGGCACAGCGTCTCTTGCATTCACCCAGAAGACACAGAAACACCCCTCTTGGGGCTCCTCTGTACCCCGGGAGGTCGCACCAGGAGGGCTTTGGGCTCTGCACCGAGGGTCGGGTGTGGCTGATGGCCGTGGACCCCCCGCCCCCGCCCTAGCTTCCTGGTGTCTGTGCTGTACTCCAAGGCCAAGTTGGCCTCGGCCTGCGGGGGTATCATCTACTTCCTGAGCTACGTGCCCTACATGTACGTGGCGATCCGTGAGGAGGTGGCCCACGATAAGATTACCGCCTTCGAGAAGTGCATCGCGGTGAGTGGGGGTCATGGAGGGTTGGGGACGGGGTGGGCCCAGCCTCCTTTCCCCACTGACACCACCATCCCTTCAGTCCCTGATGTCCACCACAGCCTTCGGCCTGGGCTCCAAGTACTTTGCCCTGTATGAGGTGGCAGGAGTGGGCATCCAGTGGCACACGTTCAGCCAGTCGCCTGTGGAAGGTGATGACTTCAACCTGCTCCTGGCTGTCACCATGTTGATGGTGGATGCGGCCGTCTACGGTGTGCTCACGTGGTACATCGAGGCAGTGCACCCAGGTACCTGCTGACCCTTTGCAGGGGAAGGAGAGAGTGTGTAGCTCCCTCGGGGGCACGTGGCCTGGGGTGGACGCAGCTCCAGGCCCTGGGTCAGCCTGCCTTCCGCCCCCCAACCCCCAGGCATGTACGGGCTCCCGCGGCCCTGGTACTTCCCACTGCAGAAGTCCTACTGGCTGGGCAGCGGGCGCACCGAGGCGTGGGAGTGGAGCTGGCCGTGGGCTCGCGCCCCCCGCCTCAGCGTCATGGAGGAGGACCAGGCCTGTGCTATGGAGAGCCGGCGCTTGGGTGAGGCGGGTGCCCCGGGGTGGCTGGGGCGGCCGCCGGGGTTGGGGGGCCCCGGGGCGTCCTTAGCTGACCTGCAGCCCTCGTGCAGAGGAGATGCGGGGCATGGAGGAGGAGCCCACCCACCTGCCGCTGGTGGTCTGCGTGGACAAGCTCACCAAGGTGTACAAGAACGACAAGAAGCTGGCCCTAAACAGGCTGAGCCTGAACCTCTATGAGAACCAGGTGGTGTCCTTCCTGGGACACAACGGGGCAGGGAAGACGACGACCATGTGCGTGTCAGCGCAGGGGACGGGTCTTCACCAGGGGGCGGGCAGGGTGGGCTCCCTGCAGGAGGTGGGGGTCGTGACCCTGCCCGCCCGCACAGGTCCATCCTCACAGGCTTGTTCCCGCCGACCTCGGGCTCGGCCACCATCTACGGGCACGACATCCGCACGGAGATGGACGAGATCCGCAAGAACCTGGGCATGTGTCCACAGCACAACGTGCTCTTTGACCGGCTCACGGTGGAGGAGCACCTCTGGTTCTACTCGAGGCTCAAGAGCAGGGCCCAGGAGGAGATCCGCAAGGAGATGGACAAGTGGGTGGGGTGAGGCGGGGCTCGGGGGCGGGGCCAGGGCGGCGGCTCCCTCCCAGCGCCATACGTGCTGCCCTGCCCGCAGGATGATCGAGGACCTGGAGCTGTCCAATAAGCGGCACTCGCTGGTGCAGACGCTGTCGGGGGGCATGAAGCGCAAGCTCTCCGTGGCCATCGCCTTTGTGGGCGGCTCCCGCGCCATCATCCTGGACGAGCCCACGGCCGGCGTGGACCCCTATGCACGCCGAGCCATCTGGGACCTCATCCTGAAGTACAAGCCGGGTGAGCAGGGCGTGGGGTGGGTGCAGGTGGCCCTGGCCGGCCCCACCCAGCCCAGCGCCCTGACCCTGACCCTGCCCTGCCCCCCAGGCCGCACCATCCTGCTGTCCACCCACCACATGGACGAGGCTGACCTGCTGGGGGACCGAATAGCCATCATCTCCCACGGGAAGCTCAAGTGCTGTGGCTCCCCGCTCTTCCTCAAGGGCGCCTATGGGGACGGTTACCGCCTCACTCTGGTCAAGCGGCCTGCTGAGCCTGGGGACCCCCAAGGTGTGTGCTGAGGCTGTCTGAGCAGGCCTGGGGCCCTATCCCAGGACCTCCTTTCCAAGACCAGTGAGCTTGAGGGGTTGGTCCTCACCGTTACCCCAGTGAGCCTGCGGTGCCTGGTCGTTCCCCTCGGTCCTCCTCTTGACCTGACTGGGCCCGCCTAGAGGATCCTCCTCCCCCAGCCTCCCCATCCCCAGTGAAGCTCTTCTCCACTCCCCACCCCTCCTAGAGCCAGGGCTGACGGCCAGCCCCCCAGGCCGCACCCAGCTGAGCAGCTGCTCGGAGCCCCAGGTCTCCCAGTTCATCCGAAAGCACGTGGCCTCCTGTCTGCTCGTCTCCGACACCAGCACAGAGCTCTCCTACATCCTGCCTAGTGAGGCGGCCAAGAAGGGTGCTTTCGAGCGTCTCTTCCAGGTGTGGGGTGGGGTGGAGTGGGCTGGGGGCGGGGGGGCGGGGCCCAGAGGGGCGGGGCCCAACGCGGGGGGGGGGGGGCGTGGTGTGGGCGCGGGGCGGAGGGGGCAGCCCCTGCCTCAGCGGTCACTCTGCTCTTCCCCAGCATCTGGAGCGCAGTCTGGACACGCTGCACTTGAGCAGCTTCGGGCTGATGGACACCACGCTGGAGGAGGTGTTCCTCAAGGTCTCAGAGGAGGACCAGTCTCTGGAGAACAGTGAGGCAGGTGGGAGCCCCGGGAGCAGCTGCCGCTCTGTGCTCCGCCCTGCCCACCTGAGCTCGGGCCTTCGCTGGCCCCCAGTGCTCACCCTGTCTCTGGGGACTAAGGATTCTGGGTGGGAACAAGGCGCCAGGGTTCCCTGCCAGGGAACGGCTTTGGGGCTGAGGAACCTGGTAGGTGGGTGGCGGTGGGAATTGGGGCGCCCCAGGGTGAGGTGGGGTGAGGGTCTTGGGAGGGTGGGTGAGCATGGGGGCTGAGGGTAGCACACAGGTCTGAGCCCCCCTGTCCCCTCTCTGGCCCGCGCGCCATGGCAGATGTGAAGGAGTCCAGGAAGGACATGCTGCCAGCGGCCGAGGGCCCGTCAGGGGAGGCGCACGCTGGCGATCTGGCGCGGAGCACAGAGCTGGCTCAGTCACAGGTGTCGCTGCAGTCTGCGTCCTCCGTGGGCTCTGCCCGTGGGGACGAGGGAGCCACCTACGCAGATGTCTATGGCGACTACCGCCCCCTCTTCGACAACGCGCAGGACCCAGACAACGTCAGCCTGCAAGGTGGGGGGCGGCTGGCTGGGGCTGGCAGGGTCTCGGCAGGGCGGCGTGGGGCGCCCGCTCAGCCCCCACTCCCTGTGCAGAAGCGGAGGCAGAGGCCCTCACGAGGGTCGGCCAAGGCAGCCGCAAGCTGGAGGGCTGGTGGCTGAAGGTGCGCCAGTTCCACGGACTCTTGGTGAAGCGTTTCCACTGTGCTCGCCGCAACTCCAAGGCGCTGTCCTCCCAGATCCTGCTCCCCGCCTTCTTTGTCTGCGTGGCCATGACCGTGGCCCTCTCCGTCCCCGAGATTGGTATGGCCGCTGGGTCAGGCAGGGGCTGGGTGGGCGGCGCGCCCGCTGCGGTGGCGCCGTGGCTCCTCCCGCTCCTGGACGGCCCGCTCTGGGCCTGCGGGCACACTGGGGTCTGGCTGGGGACCCGGGCCTCCTCGGGGCCAGGACCCCGAGCTCTGACCTTGTGGGTATTGGGAAGAGGGGACTGAGGCCTGGGGGCCGCCAGCAGGCAGTCAGAACCTGCCGGCTTCCCCGTGCGTCCCGCCAGGTGACCTGCCGCCGCTGGTGCTGTCACCCTCCCAGTACCACAACTACACCCAGCCGCGCGGCAACTTCATCCCCTACGCCAATGAGGAGCGCCAGGAGGACCGGTGAGGCCATCCGCTGGGCAGCTGGGGTGCACGGGGCAGGGGGAGGGCGCGGAGGCGGGGGGCCTCCTCCCCCGCCGTTTAGGCTCACACCGTGGGTTTCCGCAGACTGCGACTGTCGCCGGACGCCAGCCCGCAGCAGCTCGTGAGCACATTCCGGCTGCCGTCGGGCGTGGGCGCCACCTGTGTGCTGAAGTCTCCCGCCAATGGCTCGCTGGGGCCCACGCTGAACCTGAGCAGCGGCGAGTCGCGGGTGCTGGCCGCCAGGTTCTTCGACAGCATGTGCCTGGAGTCCTTCACGCAGGGGGTGCCGCTGTCCAACTTCGTGCCGCCCCCACCCTCACCTGCTCCATCCGACTCCCCTGTGTCCCCAGAGGAGGACCCGCTGCAGGCCTGGAACGCTTCCCTGCCCCCCACCTCCGGGCCAGGTATGGGCCCGCCGGGCTGCAGGGGGCACGGGACGGCATGGACCCAAACTGATTACCCTCTGTACCCGCAGACAACTGGACGTCGGCACCCTCCCTGCCACGCCTGGTGCGGGAGCCTATCCGCTGCACCTGCTCTGCGCAGGGCACCGGCTTCTCCTGCCCGGGAGGTGTGGGGGGCCGCCCGCCCCAGATGCGGGTGGTCACAGGAGACATCCTGACCGACATCACCGGCCACAACGTCTCAGAGTACCTGCTCTTCACCTCTGACCGCTTCCGGCTGCACCGGTGAGCCGGGCAGGGGGAGGGGGAGGGGGGGTGCGTGCCAGCTGTGGGCGAGGGGGCAGCCCACCCCCTGCATGCTGGGCCTCACTGCCCCCCTACCTACCTGCCCAGGTACGGGGCCATCACCTTTGGCAACGTCCAGAAGTCCATCCCTGCCTCGTTTGGTGCCCGGGCCCCTGCCACGTTGCGGAAGATCGCGGTGCGCAGGGCGGCTCAGGTGAGTGGCACAGCCCCGGGCCCTGCAGCGTCCAGCCGTCGCCGGGGTCTGCGGGAGCCCACAGTGCTCTTAGGGTGTTTCCGTGTCCCTCCCAGGTTTTCTACAACAACAAGGGCTACCACAGCATGCCCACCTACCTCAACAGCCTCAACAACGCCATCCTGCGCGCCAACCTGCCCAGGAGCAAGGGCAACCCGGCAGCCTACGGTGAGCCCAGGCGGGGCGGGCCGGGGCGGGGCCGGGCGGGGCGGGCACGGAGCAGGTCCCTGAGGCCGCCTTCCCCTGCCTGTAGGCATCACCGTCACCAACCACCCCATGAACAAGACGAGTGCCAGCCTCTCCCTGGATTACCTGTACGTACGGGGGCCGGTGCGGGGACGAGGGTGCTGCGGGAGCGGGTGCTGGGCAGGGCTGATGGCTGCCTCGTCCCCAGGCTGCAGGGCACAGACGTGGTCATTGCCATCTTCATCATTGTGGCCATGTCCTTCGTGCCAGCCAGCTTTGTGGTCTTCCTGGTGGCCGAGAAGTCTACCAAGGCCAAGCACCTGCAGTTTGTCAGTGGCTGCAACCCCGTCATCTACTGGCTGGCCAACTACGTGTGGGACATGGTGTGCCCTTCCTGCATGGCTGAGGGGGGTTCCCTTTACCCCGAGACCCCTGCCCTTCCCTGGCCCTGTCTCCTGCCGGGCCCACTGGTTCCGGCCCCAGACCCCCCCTCCCTGCTCCTGGGCCCCTCAGCCCTGCTCCCGGGCCCTGACCTGCTGCTCCCGCTCTGGCAGCTTAACTACCTGGTCCCAGCCACCTGCTGTGTCATCATCCTGTTTGTGTTCGACTTACCGGCCTACACGTCGCCCACCAACTTCCCCGCCGTGCTCTCTCTCTTCCTGCTCTATGGGTAAGGGGGAGCGGGCTGGGAGGGGGCCTGGGGGGGGTGGCCTGGGGCGGGGCGGGCTCCAGGTGACCGCCTCCCGCCCGCCTGCCTGCAGGTGGTCTATCACCCCCATCATGTACCCGGCCTCCTTCTGGTTCGAGGTGCCCAGCTCCGCCTACGTGTTTCTCATCGTCATCAACCTCTTCATTGGCATCACGGCCACAGTGGCCACGTTCCTGCTGCAGCTCTTTGAGCATGACAAGGTGGGGCAGCGGGGTGGCCAGGCGCAGCGGGCAGCAGGGCCAAGACTACGCTTGTGACCCCCTGTCACCCTCCAGGACTTGAAGGTTGTCAACAGTTACCTGAAAAGCTGCTTCCTCATCTTCCCCAACTACAACCTGGGCCACGGGCTCATGGAGATGGCGTACAACGAGTACATCAATGAGTACTACGCCAAGATCGGTGAGCAGGGGTGGGCGGCCGTGCCTGAGGGGGTCGGGCCTGGCCCGGAGGCTGAGGCTTCAGGCGTGGGGGACATGGCTCTAGGGGGCACAGACACAGGCCCTGAGCCAGCTGCCCCACAGGCCAGTTCGACAAGATGAAGTCTCCGTTCGAGTGGGACATTGTCACCAGGGGGCTGGTGGCCATGACAGTCGAGGGCTTCGTGGGCTTCTTTCTCACCATCATGTGCCAGTACAACTTCCTGCGGCAGCCACAGTGAGTGGGCGTGCGGGGACATGTGGGGCCAGTGGCCGGGCGGGGCACCGCCCACCCTGCCGCGGGGCAGCAAACTGGGGAGCACTGGGTGATGGGTCTGCCCCCCCTGCCGCCCTGCAGGCGAATGCCAGTGTCTACCAAGCCTGTGGAGGACGATGTGGATGTGGCCAGCGAGCGGCAGCGAGTGCTGCGGGGGGACGCTGACAATGACATGGTCAAGATTGAGAACCTGACCAAGGTGGGCCCTGGGCCTGTGAGAGGGGCGGGGGCCCAGGGAGGGGACCGGGCCGGGGAGGGGCGTGTTCGCAGGCATGGGCGGAGCCCAGGTAGAGGGCGGAACTCGTGTGGGGACATGTTTCCCGGGAGCGGCCCAGGAGGGGTGTTCCCAGTAGGGGCGGGGCCCAGGCCTGGGGGCGGGGGCCAGCGGGGGCGTGTTTGCAGGCGGGGGCGGGGCCGGGTGGGGGGTGGGGGCGTGTTTGCAGGCAGGGGCGGGGCCCAGGTGGGGTGGGGCGTGTTTACAGGCGGGGGCGGGGCCGGGTGGGGATGGGGGCG